TAATCAGATACTGAGATTGAAGTCATTGAACTATTGACACAAGATTCGCTTCAACCTGGATGGTAAAAGAAAATCGCTATCTGAAGCGGAGTAGCCATCCCAGTACAACTCAAGAAAAAATTCTAAACACACGGTAGCTTTCACCCATGCAAGTGAAACTACTCAAGCTTCAACTAACAAATCACATACGATTATGACGCAAAAACTAACATGAAATTAAAGCATAATACCCATAGTATAGGCTCGTGTTAAATATAAACCGAGGTCCAAGCTAGGAGGAAACCAAAAAACATCCCAGCATTACACACTGAGAAGAAATACACTTGCCCAAAGAGAAATGATTGAGTAAAACCGGACCATTTCTAACTCGTATTCAACAATTATAACAAAAAAAAATATTTTCCGAAAGCCAATCGGTGCTTAATTGCCACATCGTATGGACGAAAAAAACTCTCTGCAATTTACAAAAAAAGTGGGAAAATTCCCAGGAGAAGTAAAAGCCAAAAGCAGCAAAGGCGTGAAAACCCTTCAATAGAAGTTGAGTCGGAAAAAACAACGAGGAGAAAACGTAGATAAAATCAGAATATTTTGGTTGATGAAAGGGGAATTTTTGTAAAAGATGCGAAGAAGCGTGAAGTGGAGCAAAATCTTGAAGATCTAGTTGGAAAAATATCGAAAGGTCAAGTGAGGCTACACGAGAAAATCGAGAGAGGTGAAGTGAGAGGATCAGAGAACAAACCTGTAAAGTAAAAGAGAGCCGGCGGTGCAGCGAAGTGATCGAAGCGGCCGTGAACGGTGTGAGGTGAAGTTGGGAATGAGTCAATACTCGATACAAGAAGAGGATGAGAGACAGAAACACAGATCTCCTCTACGACTTGAACGATGAAGGAAATTAACAGATGAAGGTTGGCCTGCGCGAAAGAAAAATCTCGACGAAACGACTAGCCGTTTCGTTTGCTTCTTGCCAGCAGTTTCTTATGGGTTTGGACCCCAATTAACTGGAGCCCGATAATTTTTAACATCTGAAGCCCAAACTACATTAAAGCCATAGGAAATTCTATTTGCCTCTTTTGATTCTTATTATAATACTCCTTTATTTTAAATTATAAAATATTTTTATAAAAATTGTTTTATCCTAAAATATAAAATATTTAAAAAAATTAAATTTTTATTAAATACATTAATTTTAATATTACTCTTTCTCTTTTATAATTAAATTCCATCACTTCTCTTTTCAATATATTAAATGATGGCTATTTTGAAAAGTTATATTTTTATTTTGAAAAGATAAAATTATTAAGTATATTTAATAAGGTTTACTGATATATGAGATTTTATCTAAAAATATTTTATAATTTAAATGAAGGTAGTAATATAGGACATTTTTTATCACTCCACGAATCTTGAGAAATTCATTTAAAATTAGGGAATCTTATTAATTGTTTTAATAATTTGAATTAGTTTCTATGTAACTCTTAATCGTTCTCTCCATTTAAATAAATATTGATGGATATCATAAATAAGGACATTTGATGAAAAAAATAATGCCACTGGTATCCAAATAGGATTAAACTTCAAAGTCATATGAATACCTAGTGCCTGCTTATGGTTCAAGGGAAAAAATAGTATGGCTACTTTTTTTTTCCATGCCTAAATCACTATTTTCAATTTTTTATTTATAGGTATTTTTTGTTGAAGGTAAGCTTATTTGAAGCAATGTTATGCATTAAATGTGAATACTTTTTTAACGAGCATTTGAATATTTTATTCATTATGTTATAAAGAATTGACCTCTTTTTACTAGACCTAATCCTCATTGGTTATTAGTTATTACTTTCAATTTATTTTTTTTATTTTTGGCTAGAATACTTTCATTTTTATTCTACACAAGCTGGATTAATTATAGATGCGCTTAAATTTCAATTCTCTCTTTTTGTGCTTTGGCGGATAGTTGAATAGTATTTTGTCAATTGACATTGCGATTTAACCTCTTCTTCCTATAAATTTTTTCACTTAGATTGAATTGCATACCAGTAATTCTTCACTAGCCTTTTTTTTTTTGTGACCAAATCACTAGCCATTATTATCGTTTAATTTGATAGCATCTAATAAAAAAATTTAAAATAATAAGCTAAAAAAACAGAGGAGAGAGAGAGAGAGACAAAAATGCTTCTAAGATTAAGTTAATCAACAAGCAGGTTTGAGTTTACAAGTTCATACAAATCCACCCCATTTTACTAAATATATATACATATATGTATGCATGTATATAAAAGCATGAGCATTATGAGAAACAAATAACTAGAATTTAGGGAACATGTCAAGTAATATAAATTACATAAATAAACAACTTTTATTATCCTTCAGTACATGTCCAAGTCACTCTTGAGGACTGTTTGATACTCCCTCTTTTTAATAAATTTGATACTCCCTCTAATTTATAAAGAGTAACATTTCACAATATTTTAGTTGGTTTACAATAACTGTCATTTCAAAATTCCAATAAGTTACTAATATTTTTTAGTATTTGCCCTTCATGAACACTTTATTGAGGGAACCAATCATTTTATTGGGGGATTGGCAAGTGTATGGCATTTTTTTATAAACCGAAGGGAATTTCTAATACCATCAACTAAGCATTGTCAAGCTAAATGAAAGATAATGCTCTTAAGATAATTTCTTTTATTTAAAAGACTCCGGGTATCAATAAATAATAGCATTGAATCTTTTTCACCCAACCTAATTCTTATAGACACATGAGAAATATAAAATTTATTTTAATGAGTCTTTTCCCTCATAATTATATTAGTACCTTCTTTTTTTCATCCTTTCCTTTTTTTTTCTTGACCTTTTCTGGCTCAATATATAGTGAATTTTTTTTGTAAGAAAAATATATAGTGATTGAATAACTGTAGATTTGGAAACTTTATATAGAAAGGCATCCCAAGTCAAGATGCGTACGCACTGAATTAGGTCTTGCGCCAAATGATCTTAAGCGTATATTTTCCACTATTGCTTTGTGTTTTTGTTGGAGAGAATAATTCTGCCTTAGATGTTAGTTCTAATTTTCAATATCTAATGTTTACATTATTTATCGTGTAACGCCTTATATCCTAAGATCTTTCCAATTTTCCTATCTGTAGAATCTCTAAATTGCCCTCCACAAAATTATGTAGTTTTACATACTCTATTTCATTAAAAAATATAAGGCTTTTTTAAAATATTGAATGTCAAAAAATATATAATATTTTTAATATTTTAAAGTATAATCATTGTATTTTTTAAGTGTGCTCCTATGAATAAATAATTTTATATTTATTTTAGAGTAAAATATCCTATTAAATAGGAATAAATATAAAAAAATATATTTATTTAAAGGTAAGTAATTATTTTATTAGGATTAAATTTAATTAAAAATATTTATATTTTTTTAATTGATGGAGTATGAATTTTAATTTAGTTTAAACTCATATACAATGCATGCAGGCTAGGAGTTGGAAGTGTTAAGCTTTATATCAACTCGAGGCACTGAAATTGTAATGACCCATAGGTAGTCATAACATAACTCATAACATTATAAGCATTCTCTGATTAGATATAATACATAGTTGTTAAAATTGTAGAAATTAAAGAAGTTGTTTGTATCTAAATGTTTTCTTTTTTTTAAAATCTATCCCTAATTAAATGTTTTATAATGATAAAATTATTTCCAGGGGCTAGAAAAAAGTCATCAAATAAAGGTATATCCGTATATGTGGAAATATTTTACAACGTATCTTAAAATTTTGAGCGAGGTGGTATAGAAAGGGATTAACTTAGAAACAATTGGATTCTACATTTAGATATGAAATAATATTTACTATAAAAATTGCAATATAAATTATCAATGAGAGTTGATCTCAATAAATGAGATTGTGTCAGCGGTCAGTTGTTTCAGTGGCAGGCCACTTCCTTTTCAAGAGGTTTTGCTTCAAACTCGACGATCGACGATCTGTGTGTATACGTGAATGCGTGAATTTCCCTTTTTTATGAGAAATAATAACTAGATTAGAAGTCAAAAAAAAAAAAAAATGATTGTGAAATAGATGAATCGTAAGATCTTGAGTTCAAAGCTCCTCAAACCCAACGATACTTTCATGTGTGGGTCTCATTTGCAATAATTAATTATGATCACATAAGTTGAAGAGCTTATTAGTCTAGAATTTTGAATGAATGGTGGTAATATCTCACATCCAGATAGCGGGGATGATACAGGAAAGAAAACTGAACAACATATAAGATATTGAATTCTAAAAAAATTAAATTTAAACTTAAAAAATTAGTAAAATACTCATACAATGTACAGATCTTATATTATAATTTTTATAAATGAGTGTCTTTTTTGTAGAAAGATCATTATCAAAAGAATAACTTATAACAAACATAATTTTCATATAATTCCATATTTAATAAGCTGTGTAATTATTGTCTTTAATATTAAATATACATATTAAACAAAGTAAATGGTAAAAACTAAATACATGTAATGTTAATGGATATAATGAGAAGTAAGTTAATAAAAATTTACAATTAATTGGATCAAATTATTAAAGACTTCTCAATAAATGATATTAAAATTTTTGTTTTGGGAGCAACCATACTTATCAAGAATAAACACTTTTAAACCCTTCCTGCCTTGACTATGAGAAACAATAATGTATAACTGGTCATAAATGAAAATAAAAGGTGGGTATAAATTAACATAATCTTAACTCTTATTAATATTTATTACAAAGGCCAATATAACAGGAACAATTAATAACAATCGCAGCTATTTATCAATAATAATAATAATAATAACAATCGCTTATAGCAGGAGCTCGGCTTAGTTTTGAGACTCTGAGTGAATATCTCATATCAAGATAGGATGAAATATTAAAAAAAAAAAAAAAAGCAACATACTACAGTCAAAGCAATTAAAGCACTTACATGTTGAGATTAATGAGTTGCCACGCCAAGCCATCCCGCACCTAGCGAGTCAGACGCAAACAGGCACCATCGTCTTCCTCATTTGGCGCGCTCTGGTGAAAAGGGTTAAACTTTACTTCCAACACAGGAAAAACCATTATACTACTCTTAAGCCTCTCCTCAACACGAAAAGCACGTTCTCTTTCGTGCCCATCCACCTCAGATTGCCAATACGACACCGTTAGTGGATTCATCTTTGCACTCGACTCTGTCTCTAACTCTCTTTTCCTTCCCCGAAATAAGCGAATTCCACATTAGCATCGCGCGAAGGTCTCCATTTGAGATCTTGGCGAATCGGCAGGACCCTGAGAATGGAGATCGATACGTTGCCCATTAGTTCAGTTTCCAAAGAACACCAGAGGATCTATCAAGAGTGGTTCAATCATGCTGATTCGGGTATGATTCCACCCCCCTCTGATTTCGCTCTTGCTGCTGCTTGGATTGCAGTTCATATTCTGAAAAAATAAAGAGACTCTGAGTTCGTTTATTTTTATGCATTTTGCCAATGCTGAGTTTGCTTTCCGCTTGGGATTCTCAGATGGTGATGGCCGTCTTACGGGGAGTGATGCCATTATGTTTTTCTCTATGTCCAATTTGTCTCGCCAAGATCTTAAGCAGGTTTAGCACCGTAAAATTTTCTTCCAACTGTTGTTATGGATGGTTTGTTTATTCGGTTTTATGTCTTTGTAAATCAACTCTGCAAGTGCTTGGGCCTTCGATTTTGAATATTCTTTTGGAAGTTTCTTTGAGTCTTCAATCATGGTCTTGTAAATAATATTTGTTTGCATGATTGCTTTCTCGTATTGAGTAGTTTAAACCTCCTTTCCCTCTGGTAAGGAACGGAATTTAGCGAAGACAATTGTAATACTGAAAATGGTCACATATGAACAAGTGCGAGTCAATTTCTGAATGCTTCATACGAGTATATAGATGAGATGAAGCGAAGCGGAAAAACAGTACTCCCTCCGTTTTTTATTATCAGAGAAACTGTCACTTCTGACTTGTATTATTTTATAAGTAAAATCACCTATTCCAATAAATATTTATTATATTTTTTTAAATCATCCCTCATAATTTACATTAATGAGAAACAATTAATGTATGCCTATGTTGATTAACACAGGGTATTTTAATCTTTTTCTTTTCAAACATAATTACTATAGTTAACCGACTTTTTTACACTGTGTGCTACAGATTTTTTTCTTACATATATAGAAACAGAGTATGAACATACAATATTGAGAGATCAAGCAAAATTAATGCATGGATTTCACTAGCTAGCCTCTACTTATTACCCATTAGTTGTGTTCAAAGTGATTTGACAAGATGAATTAGCTTTCAAACTTCGTTGTTTCTACCTTTCTTATCCAGCATCACTAATGAACCAAGAAATTTCTCCAGTTCTTCTAGTTTTGATGTAGTCCTTTGTACTTGTTTAAGATTTTATAAGACTGTTTTGCATGAAATGATCCTTATAAGGGGCATCAGCTGTCCCAATGGTTGTGAAAATAATTCCTAGTAGGCGGATTATTAGCTTACATTTGATTAACCAACTCCATTACTCAAATTTGTTTTGAATGTCTACCTACTTATTAAGAATTGGAGTTTAATACTGTTTTGACTCTGTCATCCATGCAAGTCCTCCTAGCTTATCTTTCATTGTTTCACACACTCTCTTTTTACTTGTACCTTTCTTTCTTGATGACTGAATTTACTAAAATGTTTCTCTGCTGCTCTCCTTATTTAAATAAGGTTTGGGCTATTGCAGATTCAAGCGGCAAGGATTTCTTGGTCTTAAAGAATTTATCACTGCTATGCAGGTATACATTGTCTTGTTTTCTTGAAGTTTAATGCTGACCTATTTCTGGAACCTTACCCATTTTCATTGTAGCTAATTTCCTTGGTACAATCTGGCCACCCAATTTCACATGATTTGTCAACTAATGATGGTGAGTTTTGTGCCTTTCACTTGTAATCTGTTGCCCAGTTTATTTTTTCTGACTTTGTGTCTCAGTTATGTATTCTTCTGTGTCCATTTTTTATGTAAATGCCCATTTATCTTATAAAGTTACCTGACAGAAGCATAACTTTTATTTCAGTTGATTTGGAAAATCTTAAGCCTCCCGAGATGGAGGGTTTGGATGTATTACTGGCAGTAAGTATTTCCTATTCTGAATATTTTTTTCCTTCTATTTTCTTTTTGTGCGGAAGCACTTACCTTGTAGCTGTTTATCCAGAAGAAAAAGCATAAACATAAAGAGAATGATTTGAATGGTAATATCTCTCTCTTTTTATTGAATACGTCATATGCTCAGATACTGCATCTCTGTTTCTTAATTTCTCTATTGCCTCCTCATTGAGTTCCATGTCCAGTAATAAATAGTCATGCAGGTAGTTCATCACTGCAGCCATCAAATACAGCAATTTGGTTTTCGTCAAAGTCAACAAAAAAGGTAATCATTTTCTTAATGATGGTTAGATCTTTTTGTGTGGGCATTATCCGTCCCTTCTGATGCATAGTTTTAAATCCAAGTTTCCAACCTTTGCCAACCTTGATCTGCATTGTTAATGTGCTTTAATAAGTTCTGGTTGCATTTTATGTCATCATGATTTTCAAAAGCATACGTTGGGGAAATTTGAGCATCATTTTTTAGTACTTATGTTCGTATTGTTATGCAGTTTTTTTATTGTCTCTCTCTCCTTGGCCTCTGACACCTTCGCTCTTTAGCAATTTGCAATCATTGGTCTAGGTTCCAGAATGCCAGACTTGTCCATGGCTAGAGGGATAATTAATCTATTTGTTGGTCTTTGAACTGTGTTTGGCTTTGAACAATGTACAAAGTCTTGCAAATCTGATTTGTTGTTTGGGAACTTTTAGCTAACTATTGGTGCTGTATTTGAAATTAGGTTTTTTGTTGTATCTATATTTCTATTTGCACTGATAAAACTCTTTTAAGGCAGTACTCAGGACTATAACCTGCCGTCTCATTTGACTTGTTATATTTTTTATTTGATATGGAGTAGCAGTGGGCACTTACTAATGTTCTCAACTTAGATACATCTTATTTTTCCATCTCTCTATTCTTGTTTTTTCTTTTGGAGCAACAAAATGTGCATATCTTTTTACCCCTGATTTTATTTCTGTTGGTACATGAGTTGTGTTGAAGATACCATGAAGGCCTTTCTATAGATAATTTTTCACTGGCCCTTCTAACTGTTGTGTTGTTATTCCTTTACTATCGTATCATTTTCTAAGGGATTGTCAATTTTTTTTTTATTCTTCTCACTTTAATTTTTTGGGTTGCGTTGTTGATAGGTGCCTCTTTCTGCTGTGACATCAATAACTGATGGGTTGAAGAGACTATACATTGAAAAGTTGAAGCCACTAGAAGTCACTTACCGTTTTAATGATTTTGTGTCTCCATTACTGGTCAGTTGACTATCTGTGGTTTATTTTTGAAAATTGACTGCCTACTCTCTGCATCACCCTTCTCTTTTTAAAGTTACTTCTCAGTTTACTTTATGATGGCAATTCTGTACGTTTTGCAGGGGAAATAGTGATTTTGATGCCAAACCAATGGTAATGCTTTTGGGTCAGTACTCAACCGGAAAAACCACATTCATCAAACATTTGCTTCAAAATAGTTATCCTGGCAAGTGCCCCTTGAGTTTTGTATTTCTGTATGCTTATATATGCATTGGATTGCTTATAGCTCTAATATATTCCTGATTTTTTACTTGTTTGTTTCATATTGTCCATAGGAGCTCATATTGGACCTGAGCCTACAACTGATAGGTTTGTGGTTGTCATGGTATGTATGAAGCCTGTTTCTAACCCCATGACTCTTTAGCAATTTTTAAGTATCACGAATATCTTCAAGGTTTTTGTAGTTCAAATTTAGATATCTACTTTAATTCTACATTCTGAGATTTAACATCTTTGATAAGTTGAGTAGTGGTAGTGAAAACAAGTGATTGGCTTCCCCTTCATTGATTTGGTATCTTCGTAGCAATAGTGCTAAACTGCTAATTCTGGTTATCCTAAAACGTTGGTTCTTGATTACATTCATGCATTTATTCTCTCTTGTACTCGTCCTAGCAAATCTGCTTATCCATTTGTTTTACTAAGATTAGTTTTACACCTGTACAGTCCGGACCTGATGAGAGAAGTATTCCTGGTAATACTGTTGCTGTCCAAGCTGATATGCCCTTCAGTGGTCTCACAACTTTTGGCACAGCATTTTTATCAAAATTTGAGTGTTCTCAAATGCCTCATCCTGTAAGCTGGGCTAGATAATTGAGAAAAATAAGTGACTTTTTAAGCATGGGAAACTTACTTGTTTTCAATTGTCCCAAGTTACTGGAGCACATTACATTTGTGGATACGCCAGGAGTCTTATCAGGAGAAAAGCAGAGGACTCAACGAGCATATGATTTTACTGGTGTGTACATCTTGGTTTGCTGCCAAGTGTGATTTGATACTCCTTCTGTTTGATCCTCACAAGCTTGATATAAGTGATGAGTTCAAACGTGTGATATCATCCTTGCGTGGGCAAGATGACAAAATTCGAGTGGTTCTGAATAAGGCAGACCAAATTGATACTCAACAAGTATGAAATTACATATCTAACCACTTTTATGTTTATCGACAAAAATCTGTTAAAACATAGTCAGGAAACCAACCCTTTTCCCTATGTTGCAGCTGATGAGGGTTTATGGAGCATTAATGTGGTCATTAGGAAAGGTTCTGAATACTCCTGAAGTTATGCGGGTATATATTGGGTAAGCCAGTTATATTTGTGCATGTGCTTCACTGTCTATATCTATATCATCATTCATGAACTGGTCTTTGGTGATCTTCCTTCGTTTGAAAACTTAGTGCATGTTTGGTACACGAAAATGCTTTTTAAAAAGAGAATGTGAAATGTACCTAGAAGGAAAATAAGATAGGTGCGTTTCCTATTTCTTTTTTAGAAAACACTCTTCTACGTACCAAACATTGCATTGTTCTTCAAACTGTTATGTCAAATACGTCCATTCCTGAGCAGTTCTAATTTCTTTTGATTCTGAGATTCTGTTTGCTTATCTTGGCAGTTCCTTCAACGACAAACCTGTAAATGATGCTTTCACTGGTCCAATTGGTAAGGATCTCTTGAAAAGGAACAAGAAGACCTTCTTTCAGATCTCAAAGATATACCAAAGAAAGCTTGTGATCGAAGAGTGAGTCTAAATTTCTTTCGG